ACTCACTGATCAGAGAACCGGCCTTTTCATGATCAAGCTAGATTTCATTTTCATAATAAATAGATGAAATTTCACCTGAGGTCCCCAACATTTGATAAGTGACGCATTTGAGTTCAAAACATTCATTGAGAGAGCATATGAGTTCCTAACCTTTTGCCTTTATAGCATTCTCCCGTAGATATTAATCATTGCTTTAATTACTAAAAGACAAAACCAAAAAATTTTAAAAATAACGAGAAATAGAAAGGAAAAAACAACAAAAATTGAAAAAGATGTTATCATTCCCATTGCCATCAACCAAAAACAGAGTCACCGCCGCCGTCACAAATGCGAGAGACATCCATTCTAAATGTACGAGAGACCCGGCCATTGAATTCCTTATGAAATGTTCATCTCTAATATTGATCGCCGTTGACTACACGAATTTCAGAATCGCAGCAAGGCCAAGCGGAACTATATTTCAAGTGACATTGAAAGTTCTAGTAGTTGCATATGGTTTTTACGCTTGAAATTTTATAGTAGACGGAGATTTTATTTTCAATTAATCATTTGCTGCCACGATCTCCACTACTCCAAACTTTGAAGAAGACAGTGGGGTGCATCGCAAATTTGGAATCAGACGATGGCAATGACTGATGATGGGTAAGCGTCGACGGTTGATGATGGGGTAGGTTAATGGAGAAGGGTTGGAGTTTGGGAAGGAGATTTTGTTTTCTTTTTTACTTTTTTTTGCCTTATAATTTTTTATTTAAAGTAAGGGTCTAATGATCTTTCCAATAGTTTAAAAAAAAAAACTTATTTTGACCTTAAATAGATGATTTTTGTCTACTTGGACTCATAAGTTACAAAGGTGAAAAATGAGGACTCAGATGCTCTATTTTAAAGCCTTGTTTGTTTCAGATTAAAATCTGAGTCAAAGTCAAAAAATCAATATTAACAACATCTTTTATGGGTTCCACAACTTTTTAACCACACATTTCAAAAACTTCTATCACAATCTACTAAAAATCTAATTTTAATCCCCACCAAATACACACTAAATGTCTATAATCCAAACACACTAACTTTTCAAGGTTAGAGACTGAGGTCAAAAAATTCTTTAATAATAATCCCTTTAATTATAACTTAAAACCATTAAACTATGTTTATTTTATTCGACAAGTCCGGTCCACATGGAGAGAGAAATTTTATTCTATAACTTCTAGGGAAAAGTTCATGGATCAAGTATTTACTTTGACATTTGAAAAAATCAGGTGCTAAA